TTAGTGGACTACTAAGTCTGAACTAGTTATTATTAAGCACTTAATAACAGCTTATTACTAATGTCGTAATTCAAACATTAACAGGCCATATTAAAATAAGCCATTCATAATGGTTTGTTAACTGAAAGTAAATGGTTGGTTGCTGATTAATGCACACACTAAGTAGCTCCAACCAATATGTGGCTTTCAAAGAAGTAATTCAAGGAGAACATATTCTTTCCTTTAAGTGGTTAATTAATACAGAACTACTAGTAATTAGGTATGAACAAAATCTGACTTTAGAATGGAAAACACATTCTTGCTTACAAGTGGTTAATAGATTGTGGCTCTATTAACATGTGGAGTTTGGTGTTTATTTACATAATACCACAACAAAATAGTTTTGGTTATTAATGCAGAATAATTATTCCCCTTGAATTACATCATTAAAAGCCACATATTGATTTTGGCTAATTAGCATGTGCGCTAATCAGCATTTACTTTCAGTTAACAAACCATTTATGAATGGCTTATTTTGATAAAACTCTTAATTTATGGCCTGTTAATGTGAGAATTACAGCATTGGTAATAAGCACCTAATAACAGCTTAATAATGATTAATTCTGACTTAAATGATAAATGACCCACACTTGTATAGCGCCTCTCAGAGTAAGGACTCCAAAGCGCTTTACACTACAGTGCATCATTCATCCAGTCACAAACTCATTCACACACTGATGCTGATGAGCTACGATGTAGCCACAGCTGCCCTGGGGCGCACTGACAGAGGCGAGGCTGCCGAGCACAGTCGCCACCGGTCCCTCCGACCACCAGCAGCAGGCAAGGTGGGTTAAGTGTCTTGCCCAAGGACACAACAGCAGAATTCTATGTCCGGAGCCGGGATCAAACCTGCAACCTTCCGATAACTGGACAACCCGCTCAACCTGTTGAGCTACTGCTGCCTGTAGTCCACTAATATGCATATTAATTGGCAGCTAATTAATGGTTAATTTGTGTTCCCTAAACTAAAGTGTTACCGAAAGAATAATAATTTATTCAAAAATTAAATGAGTCTTGTTTATTTTTCTAAGTTTGGGAATTGTAACTTTCCGCGATCCCAACTCTCAGATATGATTAATAAGAATATAAAATGTGTTTTGTAAGGAAGTCATTTTCCATCCATGTCCAATTTTTTACAAAGACTTTGCCTTTTTTATTACAGAAATCCCTCAGAACTGCTGCAAAGACCTTGAGAATGAATGCCTCCATCCACTTATACAACTATTTATGTAAGGAGCGCCTTCCACAACCCAAGGACATTATATTTATTCTGGATATGATTTAGTTGTTGCGTCTCCTCTGTGACATGACATGCATCGTAAAATCCATGTAGACTCACCTTAAAGAGACAATAACTCTTACGTTTTGTATTTATTTAACAGCAAAACATTCAAAAATCTCTATTTTTAGGTGAAGGTGATGTGAACGCATGGCTGCTATCAAAATCCAACTTCCTTCATTACATGGCGACATTTTCTCTTAGTCAGCAGCCTCAAAGTGCAGAAAACAAGGTACGGCTCCATTTTTGTGGCCGAGAGGCTCATACCTCTGACCACACACACACACACACAATATATATATATACATATATATATATATATACATATATATATATATATATACGTATATATATATATACGTATATATATATATACATATATATATATACATATATATATATATACATATATATATATATATATACATATATATATATATATATATATATATATATATATATATATATATATATATATATATATATATATATATATATATATATATATATATACTGTATATACTGTATATATTTATATGTATAATTTTTTTTTTTATTTTAACCAACTAAACCCTAAATGTTCCCATTTGTTTTACATTTTGAGAAAAACAACACTGCAATAATTTACGATGCTCAAAGTTCCAACCACTCGAGACAGAGACCCTGAGGCTCTCTCTCTAAAACTGTGTGTTGCTAACGTTAGCCAGCAGGGAACTAACGTTTTCATGCTTTAGCTCGAGAACATCACCAGTTTTTAAATGTTTATCAAACCGGTTTTAAAGAGCAAAACAGGTTTTCCCTGTTCCTCTAAAAGGTTGTTGGTGAAAAATCTTTTCACTTGCTGTTTGTTATCGTTGCATCGTAAATAATGAGAATAATTTGCCGTTTTTGCAGGAAAACTGAGTCTCAAACTAAAGAACAAAGTAAAGACTGAGCTGTGTTTTTCTGATTATAAAAACAAAAATGTAATGGTTGAGCATCAAACCTTCCTTGACTTTAATGATCTCAGTCGTCTATCAAACAAAGCTGCAAGTCTTCATTAAAACCCGTCTGCAGGTTTTGCCCACATTGAATCACTCTTCCTGAATGCACTTAATGGTTTTGCACCTTTTTTCTGAATTCATTAGCTGAGGAGCAAAATTCAGATCATGTTTGAAAGACTTCACAAATGCAAAAATGTAGCTTAATCCTTAAATTAAAAAGAGTGAGTGAGAAGGGAAACGAGCTGAAAAGGGAGGGGAATCGACGGGGAAGGATATGTGGGGATATTCTCCTCCAAATCCTCTTACCGTGAAGCTTTTACAGCTTAACGAAGACCTTGGGAGGTCAGCAGGGAGGTGTAAACCAGAAGGCAAGAGAGGAGTCTCTCTTCCACCTCTGAACGGGACAACTGGAGAGGTTCGGGACAAATTAAACTATGTGGGGGGTGTTCTGTTTCCTCTGATCTATTCACATGCCCTTCCAGCAACTCAGGTTCCTGTTTAAACGTTCACTCAGAGTCTACCAGAATCACCCGCCATTAACATTCAAAACCTGGGAGTGACAGCAATACAGCAGTGGTGGTAACGGAAGGGGCATGTTTGGCTCTCACTTTCTTTAATTAAATCTCTTTATCCGGATAAAACATCTCATTTTACAGACACATGAACCGTCTCCTGCTAAAATAAGACAGTAAAACCCCTAAAATGCCTCGAAACCATCCACCCTCAGGTCTGTTGATCCATTTTACTCCATTAAATCAGCATTTGTCTGATAAGCGAAGTGAGAATGTCCACTTCCAATGGACTGCCACAAGTGTTTAGTGTCAAACAATCTGCGCTAATTTAATTGCACACTGAATCAATTTCCAGTGTTGATGTTAAATGATTGTGACTTCGCCCATACTGGCCCGGGCCCACCGGTCGCCTGTGGATCTAATGAGATCTCATACATCTTTACCAGCTGTAACAGGTAAGACAACAATACATTTTTGGTTTTTCATCAGAATGCTTCAACCAAGGCAAAGTAATCCTGCCCATTTTTGACATTATCCTTTCTTTCCAATAATGTCAAAGATGCTCTAAAAATAATTTTACCAGATAATCCTGCCATGTGTGGTGTGATAAAAGTGCTCTGGTCGGCTTTTGAAGGTCTGGTCCAGTCATATCAGGGACATTCACAATGTTGGATTGTCTTGGTTTGATATCAATGACAAACAGCGGTGCTACCTGTTGAATGTGTAGCCGTTTAGAAAGTTTACGCCAAAGCCTCATTTGATCTCAAGATTTTCCATCAGACCAGGAAACGCTTGTGTATGAAATCTGTTCATGTGTAGTTTGTGCTATGGCGCTGCACACCACACACTGTCTTGAGTTTTTCATCGCTACTTGAATCAGGCTGACCTTTCACCAAAACATTTTCATCTGCTTTTTCAGTTTTCAGTGTACAATCAAAGTTGAGAGGATGCAATGGAGTGTGGCACCCACCCCCTCCAAAGAGGTTCCTCCTAGAGGAAACCAGGGAACGAAATCAAAGCCCTTCCGGTCTCATCCAGCCAAACCATTAAACTTGAGAAATGGGCTGTTGCACCATCATATAATAAGCTTTAAGCTAATTCAACAATGAAAGGGCTTGCTGCAAGCAACACAGGCCATAGAACAATCTGCACACCACAGGTTATAAAATACTATGCAAACCTAGTTTGGTCTTGAGTTAAAAACACTCCAGAAATGTCCCCAAATAAGCTCACTGAGACTGTTGCACTGCCGCTAGAGGGCCAATGAGGATGCAGAGGAGAGTAGCACCTCATACGTCTAATGGGCTCCTCTAGACATCTCTCCAGGACAAAGCTTCTCTGATCCGGTCCGGTCAAACCTATAAAACCGAGAGGGAGGGGTGGATGGCTGCTGAGGCTCTACAAGCATTAAGCTCATTCTGTAAATAACAAGCCACACACACACACACACACACACACACACACACACACACACACACACACACACACACACACACACACACACACACACACACACACACACACACACACACACACACACACACACACACACACACACACACACACACACACACACACACACACACACACACACACACTTTCAACATGCTCTGCCAAAGTTGAACTACAAAACATCCCAGACAAGCCCCCAATAAAGCTGATTACCTCTGCAAGGCCAGGGATGACGCAGAGGGTCACAGTTGTTTGACTTTTAAAACAGCAAATTTATCTAAAATGTATTTCTCAGAAGTCAGTTTTACCTCAGATACACAAAATAATCATCCAACATATTTAATTTCTGTCCACTTTGTTTATGATGGCACTTAGGTTTGCTGTTCCTGTTTTTTAGTAGCAAAGAATGCATTTTATTATGAATGTTAACACAAAGATTATCTGTGCCAATTCATAAGCAAAAGTTTTGAGTTTATGTGAGGCTTATCAGCATATTTTCAGTTTTTGAATTCTGTGGTAAACAGTAATGTATGTATTTGTAAACTCACTTGTTTGAAGTGAAGGGTTCAAATGCTCCATCTGGTCATTAAAAACAGTTTTTTACAGCTCTAGTAAATTAAACAGCATCAAATGAAACAGAAAAACATAAGATTTTAATAAAAATAACATTTAAAGAGAGTCAGAGTTGATGCGTTTTTGTGTCCGGAGCCAGAGAATAAAACGTCGCTCTCCAGGTAAAATTTTACCTCTTTTTTTTATTTTACACAACATAACAACACAGTACATGTTGTCTTTTTTCTGTACAGAAGCTTCCTGGGAGCTCGTGGCCGACACAGGCCAATGTCAGTGAAAAGCTTGTAAGATTATCAGGTTGTTTATTTTTTCCTTTTAAAAATAACAATTTCATAAGAGGTCCATTAAAGTCTTCGTTTCTTCTTCTCTTTAAATGTCAAGAAGAGTCTGAACTCCTCTGTAGGTAAGAAAGGCTATGTGTGAAATCTGTTTCCTCCTCCTCTGTTCTGGTTGGTGGAGCTGAGTGAAATCTGGTTTGTGTTAGTGAGGGTCTGCTAGAGCAAAAGAAGGCACGGACTGCTGTTCTCTTGCCACACTATGGATCCACACTGTCCGCCAAGCGTGTGAACATCAAAAACAATGTGCTTTTCTTCTGTTTTTATTGTTTTTAACCCTCTTCTTTCCCCGTATTTGTGGTGTTTTCTGATAAGGTGAGTGTGACGTGGCAAGCCCATTGTCTTGGTTTTCTTTTGTGCTGTAAAGTGGAACCAACAAGACAACTGGAGAACGCTACGAGACAAGGCAAGGTAATCACTTTTCAGAAGGATCGTGTCAGAGTGGAGAACAAAGAAAAGACAGTAAACCGAATGAAAAAAAACACACAACAACTCAGGAGAAGCATCGTGGCAAACAAGTTAAAAAAAAAAAGTTGACACATTTTCACCCAGAAATCATCCTTTCATGTTCAGGTATGAAAGATGTAAACGTACATTCTAGACACACAGTTTGAAACATCAAAAATGGGGTTTTCATCACACACACACACACACACACACACACACACACACACACACACACACACACACACACACACACACACACACACACACACACACACACACACACACACACACACACACACACACACACACACACACACACACACACACACACACACACACACACACACACACACACACACACACACACACACACACACACACACACACACACACGCGGAGGTTGATGAAGTTTTTTGATTGCTGCCTTGTTGATCAAACTGTGCTTTCGAGGATCCAGTCCGAGTCGCAACGCCCTTTGTCCGAATCTCCGTCCTCTTCCTTAGGGAGCAACATCCCACTCATTGATTGGCTCCTTTTATTCCTCATGACACGCCCTAACTTTGGCGCTCCTCCCCCGCCGGCTCCCTGGTGGGGTGGGTGAGTCTTTGAGCCTCCTTCACTGAGCGAGTACCTTCTCCTTGCCCGGCTCCGAGCCACCTCCTCTACTGGAAGAGTCTGGTACTTTGCGGAGGAGGAAGCGGAGCGAAGAGCCCGCTGTAGGATGGGCGTCTCTCTGAAGCGTATGGAAGGAACGGGGCTGGGAGATGCTAGGGGGCTGGAGAAAGGAGAGGGGTAGGAAGGAGGAGGTGGAGTTTGGTTCAGCGAGGTGGAGTTGTTGCGGTTGGTGTTGAGGTTCTCCAGAGGGGTGGAGATGGTGGAAGGTAGAAGGGTCGAGGTGGGGGTGGAAGAAGATGGGCGAGGAGAAGCTGCTGGGGGGATGTTCTCGGGCGTGGCTGGGGTGTTGGAGCCAACAGCTCCAGGCTTACTGGGAGCTGGCTTTCGCTTTGACCTGTGCAGAGAACTAGTGGCGGGTGATGCGACTCCAGCTGGTGGTCTTTGTTCAGCCACTTTCACCCGGCCCTCACCTGCAGCCGTCGGGCTTTTGGCCCCCCAACTCTGGCTGAGGACCGACGTGGCTGTGGAACAGTCCGGCAGGGAGCATTCAGATGACTGAGCTACTGTGTCCTTCTCTCCACGTGCTCCTCCTCCTCCCGCTGACGCAGCTCCGCTCTGTTTCTTTGCGCCTCCGGATAGATCGTCCAGTCCGATCGATCCATGTTTGGAGGCACTGGGAGTCACGGAGCATCCCTGCGACTGCTGCCCATTGGTCTGGGAGTGAACGTTGGTCATCGACAGTGACACGCCTTTTCCACCGTCACCTTGGTTACACACCTGAGGAAATAACAAATGTTCAGAGAAGGACTCCAGCATCAGGACCCTCACAGATGATGGTGTAGTAAATATTTCAGGAATTAAAGTCTGTTAGTGCCAGAAATTTCCAAAGTGTCCGTTCAAGCATCCCAATAGGAGCAAATATGCTTAAAAAGGAACATTTTTTGTGCCGTGATTATGAAATTTCAGCAATAAATAAATAAATCTTTACTGCAGAGACACAGTTTTCCACTCGCTGCATGTGCTGCAACATAAAGAAGTAAATGAACAAAAACCAAATGCATCTTATTTGGCACGGAGTAACTGGACTAGTTTTAATAAATGTGCTTGTTAGAATGAACACTTTAGAGTTTTACTTACAGAGAGAAGAAACCCCAGATTTACTCATTATGTTGTAAACGTGTTACGAGCTTTAGTGGACATTTGGGGGGGTGCGGTCTCTTAGAGGGATAATGAAATTAATTAGTGGGAAAGAATAAAAATAAACTGGTTTAGCTACACTTCTGTGCATTTAAAAATTTTAACTTTAAAATATCCCACTAAGTCACTAGAAAAGTAAAACTTGATGAATTAGACGTGTGAAATGATGCCATCTTTATTTTCTTACAACATTATAACATTTTAACAAGGCAGACGATGACATTTCTGACACTTTTCTCTGGAAACGAGTACACATTAGGCCTTTAAAGACCTGTTTTTTGCAATGACTTGCATAGAGTTTCCTAATAAAAACAAATATTTCATGAAAGAAAATAAATGCGTCAAATTAAATATAAAATCTGAACCCAGTACATTTTTTTGTTTCAGTTCATCTATAAAAACCACCATGAAGCCTCTCTTTATGCCTCCTCTCTGGGTTGGGGTCATTTGAGCACCAGACACCCACCTTGTATCGTATCATCAGGATTATGATGAAAACGAGCACCGAGGCCACGATTATCCCGCCGATGATGATGATCATTGTCCCGCCGAGGAACTGAGATTGCATGAAGTGACACCTCATGTACTCTGACTCGGTGGTGAACTGCACACAGCCAACCACGCGTGTCGCCGTCAAAGAGGTGATGACATCATCGTAGATGGCCAGCACGCAGAGGTCGTACGCCGTCCCCGCTGCCAGGTTATTCACCAGGAAGTTCTTGCTTGATGGGGGGATCATTCTGGAGCAGAAAGGAGGAAAACATAGCTACTATTAAAACAACGATAAAGCACCATCTGGATGATATTTGTGGGCTCAGAGCAAAGGTGTTGGAGGTGTTTCGTCTCTAATCCGTGTTTCTGGATTCAAACAGAGGAGTGAGAAGAGCAGAGGTGTTAAACTTTAGATACCTAGCTTGCTCCCCTTCCTCTCAGGAGGGATTTGGGGTTTTGTGGTGTTGGTCCATCAGGATGATCAGATTAAAAAAGCTGTGTTGGAAGTTTTGGAAAGAGCTGTATGGTGGAGCTGGTAACAGCACTCAAAGCAAGAAGGTTGCTGGTTTGAATCCTGCACGCACAAACATTTCTGCATAAAGTTAGCATGTTCTCTCCGTGCATGCTTGCCTTTTCTGAGGTATTCTAGACCAAAAACATGCATGTTAGGTTAACTGGAGAAGAACTTTCCCATGTGTACATGTCCCTGTGATGAGGTCATGCCCACTGTGTCTCCCATCTCGCTCCCTCCAGCCTGGGGAGGATGAAGCAGGGGAATTCTGCGTGTTTTATAGTAAATAAGTAAGTAAGTAAATTTTATTTATGTTGCACTAATCACAGACATAGAATCACAAAGTGCTTTTAGTTGTTTCCCTGCTCCAGCGTACCAGATTCTATGGTTGAGTCACCTCTTTAGAAGCTCATCAGGCTCTGCAGGAGCCTGTTAATCGCCTGGTGATTAAAACCAGGTGTGTTGAAGCAGGGTAACAACTAAAACGTTCAGGGTCGTGGTGACCAGGAATCCTCACCGCGTTTTAGAAGGTGGTCTTAGTAAGAACATGCAGAAGGTTATATTTTAGCAAACGTCTTTCAAGAAAAGATCAGTCCTGTCCTCAAGAGTGTCCCTCGTCCACGAGAGGTTGTGTAATTGTTTCCTCCGTCCTGAAAGTCACGCTCATGTTAATGAAGCCCTGACGACAGTTTAAAAGATTGTTCTTGTGTGAATCCACAAGGACTTAGGACAGGGGTGTCAAACATGCGGCCCGCGGGCCGAATCCGGCCCGCAAGCGGGTTAAATCCGGCCCGCGAGACGATTGTGTAAACTTTATTTTCATACTTTACAATGTAGAGTGAAAATAAACGCATCATTGTGAGCAAGTTTTCTCTGTAATGAGTATAAATAAAACAAAGCTGCGCTCAAGACTCACAAAAACTTGAATCACATCCTGAAGTTGGCCGCCACTCAGGATGTGACTTCTGATATTGATGTGCCGGTGAAAGCTAAAAGATGTTAAGTAAAATGAGTCAAATATACTTTAAGTGCTGCATAAAACTGATCTATCCATCACTAAGGAATGTTTTTTTTTAATTTGTTGATTTTTTTATTTTTTTTCAAATTTTCAAGTACACTTAAGGTGTTGTACTTGTACTACACTGTCCTCAGGCTCCAGCCTTGTTTTATATTGATTGTATTAAAACAAAGAAAACAATCTGAAGTTTTTTTTTTTAAATTTACCGGTCCGGCCCACTTGGGACTAGATTTCCCTCAATGTGACCCCTGAGCTAAAATGAGTTTGACACCCCTGACTTAGGAGGTCCAGGTCCAGGACGTCTACCTGACAGACATCCCAGAGGAAAAATGTACGTCTGTCGTCTAAAACAAGGTCAAATGAAGTGACTTCATTACATGTTGTAGAAACAATGAGGGTTCAGGGTTTTTCCACCAAAAGCTGGAGGTATTTAATTAATCTCTACTCTCTCCTTTGGAGAGTGGAATTATAATAAATACACAAAATCTGCATGTTGGGTTTCCGATCCTCCCATTTCGATTTTCTGCAGAAGCTTCAATAAATACAGTTCAATAGTTTAAAGTTCAGTTCAATAAATCTGTTATTTCTACAACTTTAAATATTATTTGTATATTTAAAGAGGGTCGAAAGAGAAAATGACCCAAATTGTAGAAATATAGGCGGCTCTGATACGATCTTAGCAAATATTCTAAAACTGTTCGGAAAGGTTTTTTTTTTCAGATTTCTCTTGCAAGAAAATAAGTTCATGTTTTAAACATGTTTTAAACATTGAAGTGGAATAAAGGCGTCTAAAATGATGACGGACGCCAGCGTCTTCATCCTGAACATTGCTCATTTCAGAAGTGAGCAACATCAAACCTTTCTTTTCCTTGTCAAGTACAACACAGTCACAGAAGAAGAGTGTATTTCCTGAAGGTTCCCTTCAAAATAAAATACTTGCACGAATACATTGTCAGTGCCAACAACAGGACTGAATTTCTTTAGTAACTACATGGAGTGCAGAATTATTAGGCAAATGAGTATTTTGTCCACGTCATCCTCTTCATGCATGTTGTCTGACTCCAAGCTGTACAGGCTCGAAAGCCTACTACCAATTAAGCATATTAGGTGATGTGCATCTCTGTAATGAGAAGGGGTATGGTCTAATGACATCAACACCCTATATCAGGTGTGCATAATTATTAGGCAACTTCCTTTCCTTTGGCAAAATGGGTCAAAAGAAGGACTTGACAGGCTCAGAAAAGTCAAAAATAGTGAGATGTCTTGCAGAAGGATGCAGCAGTCTTAAAATTGCAAAGCTTCTGAAGCGTGATCATCGAACAATCAAGCGTTTCATTCAAAATAGTCAACAGGGTCGCAAGAAGCGTGTGGACAAACCAAGGTGCAAAATAACTGCCCGTGAACTGAGAAAAGTCAAGCGTGCAGCTGCCAAGATGCCACTTGCCACCAGTTTGGCCATATTTCAGAGCTGCAACATCACTGGAGTGCCCAAAAGCACAAGGTGTGCAATACTCAGAGACATGGCCAAGGTAAGAAAGGCTGAAAGACAACCACCACTGAACAAGACACACAAGCTGAAACGTCAAGACTGGGCCAAGAAATATCTCAAGACTGATTTTTCTAAGGTTTTATGGACTGATGAAATGAGAGTGAGTCTTGATGGACCAGATGGATGGGCCCGTGGCTGGATTGGTGAAGGGCAGAGAGCTCCTGTCCAACTCAGACGCCAGCAAGGTGGAGGTGTAGTACTGGTTTGGGCTGGTATCATCAAAGATGAGCTTGTGGAGCCTTTTCGGGTTGAGGATGGAGTCGAGCTCAACTCCCAGTCCTACTGTCAGTTTCTGGAAGACACCTTCTTCAAGCAGTGGTACAGGAAGAAGTCTGCATCCTTCAAGAAAACCATGATGTTCATGCAGGACAATGCTCCATCACACGCGTCCAAGTACTCCACAGCGTGGCTGGCAAGAAAGGGTATAAAAGAAGAAAAACTAATGACATGGCCTCCTTGTTCACCTGATCCGAACCCCATTGAGAACCTGTGGTCCACCATCAAATGTGAGATTTACAAGGAGGGAAAACGGTACACCTCTCTGAACAGTGTCTGGGAGGCTGTGGTTGCTGCTGCACGCAATGTTGATGGTGAACAGATCAGAACACTGACAGAATCCATGGATGGCAGGCTTTTGAGTGTCCTTGCAAAGAAAGGTGGCTATACTGGTCGCTGATTTGTTTTTGTATTGTTTCTGAATGTCAGAAATGTATATTACTGGTAAAAATAAATAATTGAAATGGGTATATATTAGTTTTTTGTTAAGTTGCCTAATAATTAGGCACAGTAATAGTCACCTGCACACACAGATATCCCCCTAAAATAGCTAAAACTAAACTACTTCCAAAAACATTCAGCTTTGATATTAATGAGTTTTTTAGGTTCATTGAGAACATGGTTGTTGTTCAATAATAAAATTATTCCTCAAAAATACAACTTGCCTAATAATTCTGCACTCCCTGTAAATACTTAAAAGACAAATGAGTCTCAACAAACATGTTTATAAAATGTAAATGTGAAACTGGTTTTGCTGACCTTTAAATCCTCCCGTCTCATTTCTGTGGCAGATGCTTTATTTGACGCTAACGTTAACAGCGACAGAACAATGAGCTACAGCGAGTGGTAATGTACTTTCTGTGTGCTTTCTCCACAGTCTAAATAATAAATCCTCTTCCTGCTTTGCACACAGCAGGAAAAGCATGCAGCAGGTTTTTTGTAAAGCCAAAGCGTGTGGAAACTAAAGAAACATTCTTATTAAAATAAATGAAATGCATTGTTGAAACCGTGACGCTGAACACAAACCTGCAGCTGACCTCCAGGCTGCACGAAAACAAACTAACAACAGTTCTGTGGTTTGATTTAGACAGAAAGTGAGAGGTTGTGTCGTGCTGACGTCTGGCTGTCAGCTCCTCGTTAAACTGCTAATCAAGTTCCTCGTTAAAACTAAACGGGGCAGCTGGGTCACAGCTCCCGGGCGTACGTGGCGCTGAGAGGAGCAAAGGGCTGCTTCAGCCGGGTCAAAGCATCTGGTTTAGAGTTTCTGCTAAATGACGGTTAGGAGACGAGTCAAGGTTTAATGGTCATCATTAAAGGCTCTGGAACGAATGTAGCAGTAGGTCATTGTGCACTCACACAACCCTGTGTGTGTGTGTGTGTGTGTGTGTGTGAATACCAACAGGGCCATTCTAACATCAGATGAGCATCCTCTGATTTTCCTGTCTTAATGCTTTAATCACTTTTATGAGGAAATTCAACTAAACACATTTAATTTGGGAGAGATAATGTGACGCTGAACGGCGAAGGCTGACACGAGTGAAAGTCACCCCAACAGCGTTCACGCAGACCGTTGGTCTGGGGATGGAAACCTGAGGAGAGGGCAACACGAGACCCCCAGTTGGGCAGCAAACTCCTTCCAACTGGGGGCCTCGGTCGGAGAGGATCTCGGTGGGGGTCCCACAAAGGCGGAAGACATGTTTAAGTAGGAGGGTAGCCGTTTCTGTAGAGGACGGGAGAGACTTAGGAGGGATGAGGGGACAGGCCTTAGAAAAACGTAAGGACAACATTGAAACCACGGGATGGGGGAGGCCTGTGACGAAATCCAGAGGGATATGGGACCATAGACGTGAAGGGATTGGGAGAGGGTTGAGAAGGCCATAAGGGGCTGGTTGCT